GTTTAAGTTATTGTAGTTTTTTGGTTTTGTTTCACATAATTATAGAATTTATTAGGGAAGTTAACAGGTTATAATTTTGATTGGAAACAAAATTTCTTCAGTGAGGACAGCTTAGGTGCTTGGAAGCCCTTTGATCTTTTAACACTGGCCTATGTTACAATGTCCTGTTAGACTTGTCTGGTGTCTTCCCCTAGTCCTCCAGCAAGATTGGGTAAAGGTCTCCGATTCTGACTTTGGTTGGCTCTGTGTGGTAGCAGTCCCTGATTAATACTATCTCAAATTAGTGTCAGGTTGTCGCCTGCTGCTGCTACTGCTGCTCCTATCTCTTCCAGCAGGAATCTCCCTGCCCCTGAAATATGCACCTTGCAGTCTCTCTCATTATTTCTTCCTTCTAATGAGATTCCCATTTTCTTCCTCTGAACATGCTCAATTTATAACTTGGATGGCAAGACTGACCAGTTTCTCATTAGTAGTCTACACATCTTGTTTGCATATTCCCATCCTAAAGCTGCTCTCTGCCTGATTCACATCATAAGCATAGTCCCACCCAGCCAATGTAGTAAGTCAAGGTAGATGGCATAGGAAAACCATTTTGAACAATTAACCTACTACACCACAGTATTCCACTTTGATCCAGAGGGCTTTTTCCTTTTAAAAAATTATATTGTCTTTTAAAACTGTAATTTGAGTGAAAGTCTAGAAATTGGTTTTCTATTCAGAAATTCATACACATATTTCGTAACATTAATTATAATTCCCTTATTGTCATAGCAGTCTTTCTACTTCTTCCCTGGTTCTGGTGTCCATTTGTGCTTCTTTCCTGTCCCTTCTGTACTTTATCTTTCGGTAGATGCTGCCCTTTTTTGATCTTGTCCATGTTGTTAGGTACTGCTGAGTTAATTCCAACTCGTTGTGAATCCATATGACATGGTCTGTAGTCTACCATATATTTTTGTTAATATATTCTCCTCTTGGCTAGGATTATAATACATTAAAGTGCTGTTATTAATTGCCATTGAGCCAACTCTGACTGATGGCATTTTCATGTGTGCAATATATAACTGTTTCATAGAATTTTTCAAAGCTGTGAGCTTTCAGAAGCAGATTTCCAAGCTGATCTTCTAAGATACCTCTCAATGGGTTTGATACCCACTTTTTGGTTAGTAGTTCAGTACTTAATCATTTCTATACCTGATAACTTTTAGCTTAATCTTCTCTGAAGATTAAGATTAGTTTTTTAGACTGAGATTTGCCTTTGCCTTGGTCTGACTGTTTCTCTGCTTGTATCGTGTGTGTGTGTGCTGTACTGATATGAATATACTGTTTCCTGTATTTCAGCATTAAAGTTGAGAGGAGGATAGAATTTTACTGGCAAATGGCTAAGATCATTGATGTTGTGTTTTGGAAGTTTCTTCTTCAGAGAGTAACCCTTAATTTATGTTGTTCCTTTCATGGTTATTGAAATTCTAGCTTATAAATAAAACTTATACTGAAATTTTAGTTTAAAAAACTTTCTTTATGTCAGTTTAGTATCAAGACATGGCCCATTTGGTTATTTGTTCTGACATTGCATATCCATTATTCTGGCAGACATGAAGAAAACCAAACATTAAAAACATTTGAGGAGACTTTTTCTTTTTTAAAAAATAAGCTGTAATTGGGAGATAAGTTAAACAGAGTTCACAGGAGGATTAAAGGAAATATTGAGAAGGCATCTGGTGCAACCACTGTGGAATGCGGTATGGCACTTTGTCAAAAAGTTGCAAAATAGAGATACCATTTGACCCAGCAATTCCATTACTGGGAATATACCCCAAAGAAACCATAACTGACATCCAAGGAGATATATGCACACCTATGTTTATCGCAGCTTTGTTCACAATAACAAGGAGTTGGAAACAATCTAAGTGCCCATCGACAAACGAATGGATAGAGAAGCTGTGGTATATTCACAAAATGGAATACTGCACTGCATTAAAAACAAGGAACTCATGAAATATTATGCAAAATTTGTGACCCTGGAAGACATTATGCTGAGTGAAGTATCTCAGTCACAAAAGGACAAATACTGCATGGTGCCACTGTTGTAAAACAGGACTGACCTCGGGGTTGGGGGGAGACTGAGAAAGATGGGTTTAATAATGTATACTGCATTGAAACAGATGAGGCAGAGAACTGTTTAAAAGGGATATGTGATTAGGTATTTTTGTCATGATGGGAGTCCAGAGCAAAGGCTGCATAGTGGAGTGGACTTGGGGGAGGGATTGTAAAACAATGAAAGAATTTTTGTTCTATTTTTCTAAGAGGATAGTGTACTGGGAGGGAGGGTTGGGAGGGAAGAAAAGTGCAAGAATGAATGAATGGAAATCCAAAGTCTCTGTAAATTTTCACTGAAATTAATAATTAAAAAAAAAGAGAAGGCATCTTCATAATGAGATATATGGTTAGCGTACTAGGTCTGTGAAGTAAAGTGTTTATATTATGGCAGTGTGGCATGTAAAGGGTGATTCATTGTGCTTGAATTTACTCTGTCAGTTACTAATTGTGACCTTGGCCATGTCAAAGTAAACAGCCTATAGTCTCAGTTTTTATTTGAATCTAATACTTAGTTTATCTTTTATTGAGTACAAGTTGGTGCTTTTTAGTTGAAAATTCCCTAAATTTGATGATCCTAAATTGGCTAGCTTCCTTCTATCCTTGGATGACCTTTTAGAAATACTATTTTATTGTTCAAAACCAGACAGTAATTTGATTTTAATTCTACAGTTCTCTTTTATTTAATCTTAATCCTTATAGTGTTTTATGCACATTTTAAGGAGGCTTGTGTAAAATTTTATGTGAAGCATGTATAATGTTGTCTTCACAATGGAAGCATTATTAGACCTTTAGTGTACCTGAGCCTTTTTAAGGAAAATGAGTGCTTCTTGGAGTCAAGGATTTTTAAGCTTCACCTGACATACTTTGGGCATATTGCAAGGAAGGACTGGTCCTTGGAGGGGGACATCATGTTTGGGAGAGTGGAGGGACAGCGTAGGAGAATAAGACCCTCAATGAGATGGATGATTCTGTGATTGGAGTGGTGGGAATGAGTGTGTCTGAGATAGTGAGGTTGGCACAGGATAGAACAGCATGTAGGGCTCTTGTGCATAGGGTCGCTATGAGTCACAAGTGACTCGATGGCACATAAGAACAACAACAACAATATATATTTAAGTATGTAATGAATATAGATAGTTTAAGGGACCTGAAGTCAACTTGAAATTTCAAAACCTATTGATAAATTAGGAATAATAAATTGTTTTGTATTTAGATCAGATTCATATTTTGTGATTTCACAAGATTTTTCTATTTTGATTACAGATTCTAGAGACTATGCCGATGACTGAAAAAGTTGAAGAATTGCTGCATGTCATAGGTCCATTTTATGAGATTGTAGAGGATAAAAAGAGTGGCAGGACTTCCGACTTAACCTCAGGTTGGACTGTCTTATCTGTTTGCTTTTAAATTTGGCAATTGATTGTATTCAGAATTATAATTTATGCATTTGATTTAAAAATTTTTTCTATTTTCACATGCCAGTCCGACTGGAGAAAATCTCTAAGTATTTAGAAGGTAGGAATAATGAAACTCATATAAAGTTTTTCTTAATATTGATTTGAATGTCAACAGTATCTACACAAATGTGTATCACTTAAAAATTTGTCACATAACACTTTCTTTTTTTTTTAACACTTTCTTTCAAAGCAAATACATTTTGTGAAGACCCAAAATGTTGTTATTATTAGGTGCCAATTAATTCAGACTCATAGCATCCATAGAGGATAGAGTGGAACTGCTACTTAACATACTTTCCTCCTCTAAAATTAGTTTGAAACTTTCCCCCCTCTACTGCCTCTGAAAACTCTCTGGAGAGTCAGCTGTGAGTTGATTACAGTTCAATAGCACATGACATCCTTAAATTTTATTTAAGGATCTCTGGTGCTGTAGTCTGTAGTATCCAGTGATTTGAATCCACAAGTGACTCTGAGGGAGAATGGTAGTCTCTTACTGAGATTTACAGCCTTCGAAACCTTTTGGAGGTTCTTTTTTTAAGTTTAATTTTATTAATTTTAATGAACATTTACAGAGATTTTGGATTTCCATTCATTCATTTTTGCACTCTTTTCTCTATCCCCCCCAGTTTGTTCCTCTCTTTTTTTTTCTGAAAGTCTGTTTTAATTGTCCCTTGCGACAGTGCTTGTCAAAACCAGTTCTGATTAATCTCCTTTGTCAGTGTGTCCTTTGCCATTCCCTGTCACTCCTCCCTGAGAGAGATGTCACCCTGATTCATAAGGAAAAGGGGACAGTGTATTCTCTTAGCTACTTCCTGCTGAAAAGGGACGCTGTGGGTTTCAGGGTGAAGATCTTCTCTTGCTACTCTACAGGGCCCCTTTGGCAATAGGAAACACATAGACTATTATGGAGATTGATTTTGGATTGGAGGTTCTTATGAGTTCAGACTGACTTGATAGCATTGTGAAATTTTACTTAACTCTGTTGTTGTTGAGAATATGCACAGAAGAACATCAAATGCAACAGTTTCTGTGTTTATGTTTTAGTCACATTAATGCACATCGGATTTTCTAGGTTGTAATCTTCATGAGAACAGATTACCCAGTTGAGTTCAAACCACCAGCCTTTCACTAGCAACTTGAGTGTTTTAACTGTTTACCACCAGGGGTCCTTTCTAAAATATGAACAGTGCAGTCTTTCACCAGTAAATGTTATGTTTTGAAAGCATGATAGATGATTCAGTTATTAAACTTATGACAGAATTTATGGAGTTTTTTCCTTGATGTGTCACATTTTGTTTTGAATTAAGAATCTGATTGACCATATTACAGCTGAGATTTTCTTCTTTTTTTATTATTATTATTAATTTTAACGAAAATTTACAGAGACTTTGGATTTCCATTCATTCATTGTTGCAGCTGAGATCTTTTTAAAGCTACTTTTATAATGCAAATATTTTCAGTTTGGTTTAACTATAAGATCTAGCAAGTTAAAACAAGACAGTAAATTCAGTGAGCTTGTTTTGTTCCTTTGTTTATTTTTTTGACTTTGTTTTTATAGTCTCAGTAAAGAATTGAAAGGTGACTTCCCCTACACACTCCCCACCCCATTCTACCAAGAGTTTTCTGCTATTAACTGTGACATTTGTTCTTTAAAACTTTTTAGAAAGCAGAGTGAAATGAGCCCACAAGAGACTATTAAGTAACAGCCTTGAAAACCTGGTGGTGCAGTTCTGTTCAGCACACCTGGGATTGCTATGAGTTGGAACTGACTCAACAGCCACTAACAACAACAAAATTATCTACATCTCAAGTACGATGGTGACAAGGCAGACATTTCCATTACAAATGGGAGACATTGAAGGGAAAGCAGGCACCAAGCAAATTCAAAACCCAGGAGAACAAATCTCATTAGCTTTCAGGTCTGAAAATCTTCTGATCTTTTAGACTATTTAGGCAGTGACCTCATCTTCCAGATTCAAGGTATTAATCACAACTTTTGGATTCTGAGAGGACACCCCTTAGACCTAGGCTTCAGCTCAGCCTTCCAGTTCTACTGGAATGGCAACTCTGACTCTTCAACTTTGGGTAACCCCATTATCCTAGTCTCAGTAGTACATCACACCCCTTGGACCAAGCAGACCCCATTCTTCTGTTCTCTTTTGTACTCACAGGGCATGGCAACCCCACCTTTACAGCTTTTTTGAGAAGAGGCTCTATTTTGGTATACCTGAGCAAAAACCCCACGCTCCAGAATTGAGTTAATAAAAGACAAGACTCTGAAACCTAGGCGACTGTGATTCTGCCATTTTAGTTCCCATATTTTTGCTACTCAATCCCATCTGTAGTCAGTAGAAATTTCTTAAGGCAAGCTCCTATATTCTTTTAATTTTGTATTTGACAGCATACTTGCTTTTTGGCATGTCTTAGATACATTTTATTCTTTCATGCCCACCTTGGAATCAGCTCTTTATTCAGATAGCCATATTTTGGTTTTTAAAGTTGGTCCTCCTCTCTCCCCAATCTTGATGTTGTTTAGTACTTTTGAGTCAGAACTGACTTGGACCTGACCATCCAGCAGGTTTTCAGAGGTAGTAAATCAAATGGGGGGAGAGTACCCATTTTTCTCTCTCAGAGTGGCTGATGGATTCCAGTTGGATACACCTATCTTTTGGCAGGCCAGTTCCTTACTACTAAGCCACCCGAGAGCCCTAATATTTTTCTGATTGATAAGTGATAATTTAGAAGGATAATCTGGATACTGATCATGCCCACTAGTAGATAATGATCCTAGGCTGTTTTCTGGGAACTGAATTAGAAAATACATAGTGGTGTTTTGGTTTGTTTTTTTCCTTAGAGTAGAATATGAGGTATTCATACTGATATTTGCATTAAAGCTATTTTTATTTTGTACTTAAATTATTTTCTCTTAAACTGTAAATTTTAACTAGTTTTTAGTAATAGTAGTTGCTTATCCCTTTGACCTGTAATTTACATCAGTTATTTCACCCTTGGCATTGATTTGGTTCTGACTCATAGCCGCCTTATATAAGTAGTCTTACAGGATTTCCTAGGCTGCATTCTTCATGAGGACAGACTGCCACATTTTTTTTATTTGGAGTGAATGCTAAATGTGAACAGCTGTCATATTAATCGTTGCACCACCTGGGCTCCTAAGAGCTGAGTACAAAAAACCCCAGTGCCATAGAGTCAGTTCTGACTCCTCATGACCCTCCTGTAGCCCTGGCTGTAAATCTGTCCTGGTTCTTCTCCTTGTGGAACAGCTGGTGGGCTTCAGCCTGGGCTTTGGGTTAGCAGAGCCACACAGAGTGCACCATGACACCAGAAAGCTCATACCTAGTTATGTAACATATGGATCTTTATACTTAAAGTACATTACTAAGTATCACATTTTACACTTTTTAGTGTACCTAATGATTTATGTTTTTGTAACTTTTTATATCATTGTTTGTTACAGCAATACTATGTAGATTACAGTATTGGAGATTAAGCAGTAATTTCTTATTTCAGATCTTGGTAATGTTTTAACTACTTCACATCCCAAAAGCATGAATGGTAAAGCTGAAAGCAGTGATAGTGGAGCTGAGTCAGAGGAAGAAGAGTCCCCTGAAGAAGTGAAAACAGAACAAAGTGATAATGGTAATATTTGGGTGATGGATTAATGATTTTACACTAAGAGAAAAGGAGGAGGAAGATTTGGGATGGAGATTCTTGCATGTGCTGCTGACTGTAGCACCAAATTTGTTAGATCCAAAAGACTGCTACCATATGCAGATTGACTAAGCATTAAGTCAAGGCTGATAAGAATAGGCTACAGGCCCACTTAGTGTTGCTGTATTACATGTTTATTAACCAGTTGCTGTTGAGTTGATTCCAACTCTGCAACAAGTTGCAGAGTTTTACTCATTGTGAACATTAATGAATCTCATTTAATTTCTCATAAAAGATAAGAAAATTATGAAGAAATCAACAGACCTTAGCAGTTTGGAATTTGCTGTTCCTAATGGCTATGATAAAGGCAACTTTGTTCAGGAGATACAGAATGATGTCCGTGGTAGTTCTTCCCTGACTGGCAAAGACATTGAAGAAGTAAAGCCTGTAGAGCAAATCTGTGAACAAACTGGAAAAGATAACGTCTGCGTTCACCAAGGTACTATCCCTTAATAATTCTTTGTTTAGCCTTTTTCCTGTAAATATTAACTATTGTAAACCTTCAATATGTAGTGAGGAGCAACTGAGAGTAAAAGAGATTTATTTAATATCATGTTGTGAATTATTAGTATTACAAAAATCTTTGGATTTTGAAAGACCGTGGATTAGGATCAGGGTTATTGTATCTTTAGCCTCTTTTTGTATTATTATTATTAGTGCCTTTGGAAACCCCATGAACATAAGAGAAACAACAATAGTTATAGAACAGGGTTCAGATCTTTTGTCCATAAGGTCGCTATTAGTTGTACTTGACTCAGTAGCACTTAACAACAACAACATGACATTATAAAAGAAAATGTTAGATGTTTTACTTTATTACTAATGTTTCTTTGAATTTAACCATCAGATGACTTAAGATCCTTGTTACCAATCAGTTAAGGATATAATTTCTAAATTTACCAACCACACTTACATACTGGTACACCAAAAGTTACACTTCCTGGCTGATAGTTTCATTTTATCAGGTCATGAGATTTTGTAAAGTTTGCACTAAATTAAATAGTATCTTCCTATAATTCATTGATAAAATAAATTATCATCATTATAAAAAAAAGTTACCAACGAAGTTAAAAAATGTTAATAACTGTGATGAGATATAAATCCTCTTTGTTTCCACTATAAAAATATTTTAGGGATGGTAAATTTTGAAAATGAAGTAAATGCATGTGACTTCTGTTGAATATAGTTATTCTATCTGGATACTTTAAAATTATATTTAGATGTAAATGATGATCATGTTGAAGATATTTCGGGAGTTCAGCATTTGACCAGCGATTCAGACAGCGAAGTTTACTGTGATTCTATGGAGCAATTTGGACAAGAAGAGGTAAAAAAATTACACTCTATGATTGGTAAGTTTTCAAAGTGGTCTATCAGAAATTAAAGCACAGTTCTGTTAATAGGAGACATGTGCTACTTATCACTTTGAAAACATACCTCTTTGATGAATCTAGACGAAATTATGCTGTATGATATAAATCAATCACAAAAGGGCAAATATTGTATAAGACCATAATTTAAAAAGCTCACGAAAAGTTTACACATGGATAGTTGCTAACAATGTGAATGGGGAGGGAGAGAGGAATAAAATTCGTAAATAGATAACAGACCCTGAGTAATTTGGATGAAGTGAAAGGTAATATAAAAAAGGGGGCCAATATCATTGTAGTTAATGAATTATTTTAATAAATTATAATTACTGCTATAAAATGTATCTGAGTGGTTGAATGAAAAACCAATATGATTTGTAAACACTCAAATCACAATAAAAGAAAAAACCAAAAAGATATGCTTAAAGAAGATTGGTGAGGAAGAACTGAGTAGGAATGAATTTTAGTAAATATCTAGATACTAAACTGTAGGTTTGCTCCTATTTTTCTAAGTAATTGTGGACTAAAATTCTTTATAGGGCTTTGCCTGATCTGACTCCTACTCATCTTTCTGACCTCATTGTATATATGTAATGCTTTTCTTTAATTCATCTGTTTTCGAAGTGATGAGTTTGTTTCCTACTATCCTTTAATTGGAATCCAGTAAGTCTTTTTAGAGGAATAATTATGAAGTTGTTAATTAAAAATTCTTTTGTTTTCTCTATCCATTACAGTTATCATCCTATGATACTCAAATTTTTCCGTCTTTGGCCTGTAGAAGCCTGTTTAGGTTACCCCTTGTGTTTTATTTATATTAACCCTTGAGCCTTATTTATATTAAGCCTTTCAGTTGTGCTGACTTAGTGGGAAGGAATTGCTTTGCCAATCCAAAGGTACACAGTGCACATCTACCAGCTGCTCTGCTGGAGAAAGATGGGCAGTCTTCTTCCTTGTGATTGACTACCTCCACAACCTGCTGGAGGGTCAGCGCGGGGTCAGTTCTTCCTTGACAGTACACAACAACAGCCTTTGAAAGTTCCTGGCTTCCCTTTCTGGCCTCTTTTCAACTCATTCTCTTTGTTCTTTGTTCATCACCCACCTTGGCCTTCTCTCTGTTCCTCTGATATGTCAGGTCCTTTCCACTTCCCTCCTCCTGCCCTACATTTGATGCCGACGTTTATTGTTACTCACAGAGATTAACACTTCTACATTCTTTCACTTGGATCTGACTTAGCCAGAATGAAATCTTTTTAGATAAAATATAGGCCAATCACCACTATCACCAGATGCATTATATGTCAGCATCCATTAATCTGCTAAGTATGTTCTTTTAGAAAAATATCTAACCTTTCTGTCATTTTTAGAGTACTGAAAATCAAAGCAGTTTTCATGTCCTTTTTGTGTGCCACTAATTTATAGTTTACCTGCTATAGTTTGAACATTTCCTTTTGATTTCTACTTGTGTGGGTTCCCCCTCCCCCTTTTTTATTCCTCTCACCCTCCTTTCCGACCTCAGATAACCATCCAATAATGATTCTGGATGTAAACCTTTTCATAGCTTTTTACAGTAGTGGACTCATACATGCTTTTAAAAGTTTTTATAAGCTGCTTGAGTTTATAAATTAAGCATACTGCTTCCCTTATCTCACCCCATCATCTGAAGCAAACAGTATTTTTTAAATCTTTACCATGTATTTTGTCCTAATAAAGTGTTTTAAAATAGCTTTATTTGATATTTAAGGATTTGCTTCAGCGTAAGTCACTGGGAGTGGACTAGGTGACTTAAGAGTGGCCATGAAGTATTCGTTGTTGGATCTGAGTGATTAGTGCTCTATTTTTATAAATGCTTGGAATGTTCTATAGTTAAATGTTTAAAAAGAACTTTTTGTGGATTACTTTTTCCTTATATTTTTCCCTAACTAGCATTGTCAGTGTGATAGTTGTTTTTACTTTTTATTCTTTTCACCAGAATGTGTGTTATGTGTACAATTGCACCATTGTTATTGCCATATAACTCAATGATGATTTCATAACAAGTTCTTTCTTGGTCTGCTTTTCTATGTCTTCCAGTAGCACCTGCTCTAATGAGTCATTATTTTTTGTCTCCAAACAATCCAAAAACCTTTTTTTTCATTATTACCTGACACTCCTTTTTGTTTCCAAATAATCTGAAAACCTTGTTTCATTATTACCTAACTTATTTTTTTGTTTGTGTTTGGTCTTTTTACTTAATTTTTATTCAACTCTCAATCCTAAATAATGTTATTTTCAACTTCTTCAGCTATGATAGATGATCATTGGAAAAACAGGATTTCTGTTGTACTTCTGTATGTAGTTCAGTAATGTTTTCACCTGGTTGCTTTTGTATTACTTGGCTTCTATCCTTTCTAGGGGCAAAAGATTAGCATCCCTTGGTTTTATTAAATCTCTGAGGAGATAAGAGTACTTTATGTTTTCAAGGATCTCATTTCACCCAAAATATACCATTCAAAGAGAAAGACATAATTTTTTATTTGATAGTTTTTCTTTTTAGTCTGGTCTACAAAGTTGAATATGTTGTAGATACTTTTTTTTTAAGTTCAACATTTTAAAAAATTCAATAATTAGCAGTTTTTCTTTGTAGAGAAAACCCTGGTGGTGTAACAGTGAAGTGCTCTTCTGCTAATAGAAAGGTTAGCAGTTCCAGCCTCCCTGCTGACTTCATGAAGATTACAGCCTAGACCATCCAATTGGAGAGTTCTTCTTGCAGATGTCATCACTTTGAGTAGCACTTGACTCCATGATATCCTTCTTTAATAACTTTGCTTTGTAAAAGTGAAATAAGCTGTGTTCTTTTAAAAGATCCTTTTAGTGGAATAGATGATGGTTTGGAAGCACCATTCTTAGAACTGAAATAGAAGCTTGCAAATTTGAGGTGTATGTGCATGTGCATTTAATGTCTTAAATTCAAAAACCTCTTAAACTCATTGCTATTGAGTTGGCACTGACACATAGTTGACCCTCCAGTGGATTTTCATAAATTGCATGGGAGGAGATTACCCATCTTTGTCCTGAGGAGCCACTAGGAATTCCATCTTTAGGTTAGCAGCACAACTCCCTGTGAACTATGCCCAGGAGCTCTGTAGTGTTTTGTTGTTTTACGCCATCGAGTTGGAACTGACTCATAGCTGACCTTTGAGTGGGTTTTCAGAAAGTATAAATCACATGAAAAGAGATTTCCCGTATTTCTCCCATTGAACAGCTGGTGGATTTGAACTGCCTGCCTTTGTGTTGGTAGTACAATTTCTCAGCCACCAAAGCTCCCTTGATAGTGTTTTACTACAGTTAGATGCCATCGATTTGAGTACAACTCTGAGCAACCCTGGGAACAGCTGGCCTGAAACCTGCCCTATCCTGTGCCATCCTAATCATCTCTGACACAGCGGAGCCCATTGCCTGGAGCTCACTGTGTCAAGTCGTCTTGTTGGTGTCTTCTTGTCTTTCACTGATGCTCCACTTTTCCAAGCATGTCTCTTTCCAAGGAATAACCTTGTCCAAAGTATGAGAGAGGAAGCTTCGTCATGTTCCCCCCAAGGAGCACTCTGGCTGCATTTTCCCCAAGACATACCTGTTAGTTCTTTTTAGTAACCCATGGGGTATTAAGTACTCTTCTCTAACACCACAACTAAAAGACATCAGTAATTCTTCTGTTACCCTTATTCATTATCTAGTTTTCAGATATGTAGCAAGTGATTGAGAAGACCGTAGCCTGAATCAGGCCTGTGAAGACACATTAGTCTTCAAACTGACGTCATTGCTTTTATGTCTTTTGGAGAGGTCCCTGGCAGCAGACTTGCCCAATTCAGAACTTCTTGCGGTCTCCTGATTGCTGATACCAAGGGTGTTGATTGTTGATCTAAGCAAGAAGAGATCATTGACATCTTCAGTGCTTTCCTCATCTATTCTGATGCTATTTATTGACCCTGCAGTGGTCAGAACCTTTGTTTTCTTTACATTGAGATGTCATCCATATTGAAGGCTGAAGTTTTGATCTGCTGCAGCAGGTATTTAAAGTCCCTCTCACTTTCAGCAAGCAAGGTTGTATTATCTGCACAGTGCAGGTTGTTGATGAGTCTTTCTCTGATCCTAATCCACGTTCCTCTCCATAGAGGTCACCTTTTTATTTTTTCTTCTTTAGATAGAGTTCACCTTTTAAAATGACTTGCTCAGTATACAGATTGAATAGATAAGGAGAAAGGATTCATCCTTGACATATACGCTTCCTGATTTTTAAACCATTCAAGATTCCCTTGTTCCATTCAGACAACAGCTTCTAGGTATAGGTTTTGCGTGAGCACAATTAATGTTTTGGGATTCCTATTCTTCTCAGTTAGCCGTAGGTTAGCAGTGAGTCAAGTGCCTTTGCATAGTCAATTAAACACAAATGGACATTCTGAATGCCTGGGTTCATCTGACATCAGCAGTGATAGCCCTGATGCTATGGCCTCTTCTAAACCTGGATTGAACTTTTGACAATTCTTTGTCAGTATACTATTCTAGCAGTTTTTGGAACATTTTGTTTGCATCTGATATATTAATGTTATTGTTTGATAATTTCCATATTCTGTTGGGTTGTCTTTCTTAAGTACCTACAAATTCTGTATTATTTTATTTGCCACATGGCTGTACATTGCCTCTGTTAACTTATTAAAGTTGTATACTAATGCAGATGTCTCTATCAATGCAAAGTCTCAATATCAAGAAAACAAAGATTCTTACCACTAGACCAATAGTCCATGTCATGATGGATGGAGAGTAAATAGAAACTGTCAACAGCTTCATCTTGCTTGGATCCACAATTAACACCCTTGGTAGGAGCAATCAGGAAATAGGAGATGCATTGCAATGGGAAAATCTGCAGTTAGGGACCTTTCCAAATTATTGAGGAGTAGTGATGTCAGTTTGAGGAAGGACTGGGGTGCATCTGATTCAGGCCATGGTCTTTCCAGTTACTAGCTATGCATCTGAGACCTGGACAAGTGAATAAGAATGACAGAAAAAAAATTGATGCGTTTGAGCTGTGGTTTTGGCGAAAAATACTGAACATCCCATGGATGGCCAAGAAAATAAATAGATATATCTTGGATAGGGTATAGCTGGAGTGCCCTTTGGAGGCAAGAATGATGAGGCTTCACCTAACATACTTTGGACATATTGCTAGGAGATGCTATTCCTTGGAAATGACATGATGTTGGGAAGGGTGGAAGGTCGGCGAAGGAGAGGAAGACCCTCAACTAGATGGATTGACAAGGTGACTTGAAATGGGCTCTTGTGTATCAGGAAGTGAAGACGGCGCAGGACAGGACTGGTTTCAGATCTTCTGTTCATAGGGTTGCTATGAGTCATACTTGATTCGATGGAACCTAACAACCACCACCACCATCAACATTGCGGATTACAGGACTTTGAATTTTTCCAGGTGGGTGAGATTTTCAAGATAAAATGAGATAAAAATTTTTGTTTTTCCTTTCTTTTTCTTACACATCCTTTCCTATCTCTTAAGCGGTGCTTTCCATCTTGAATGTGTAGATGAATCATTGGTTTAGTTTGATTCCTGGGTCTCAACCCCAGGATTTTTGTTTTGTTTATGTTGGGTTCTTGTTATGTACCACTGAGTTGAGACCATCCTGTGGGTTTTCAGAGGCAATAAATCACATGAAAGAACATTGTCCATATTTCTTCTGGGCATTTCATGGATTTGCACCACTTGCCTTTGGGATGGCAGCACTACTTCTAACTACTAAGCTACCAGCGCTCCCTAGGTTTTTGGTTGTTGTTGTGGGCCTTTGAGTCCAAACTGACCCATAGCTGACCCTCCAACAAGTTTTTAAAGACAGCTAGCCAAATGGGAGGAGATTGTCCATCCTTCTTCTATGGAGCAGCTGGCCCTTAGAAGTGCAGCGCAGAGGTCATGAGCAAGACCTGCAAATGTACATTCTGTCACTGCCCCATTGTTGCTGAGGCTTCTCACCTGAGGGCCACATTTTAAGTCATTCTTAGCTAGAATGTAGGAAGCTAGATTTCTACCAAGATTCTTTGGGAGTGGGTGTTGTGGTGAGGGGAAAGCTAGCATTAGTCTTATTAAAAAACCCTTGTTTTTTATTATTATTTTATTATTAAAAACCGCTTGTTTTTGTCAAATTACTTTGTTTTTTAGTAGAAACCATTAGGTGGTACTCCAGCTTTTTTTTTTTTTTTAAATTTTTGTGTGAGTGTACCGTCAAATCAGATCTGACTGGTACAGGAGCAGATTGCCCCTCCTTTTCCCGGCAGAGCATCTGGTGGATTCGAACCGTGTGCCTCTGGGATTGTAGTTGCAGCTCCTTGCCATTAGGCCACCAGAGCTCCCCTGGTACTCCAGCTTTTTAGCTTGGCACTTCCATCACCCTGGCTGTATGCCTCACCCTTTAGACCTTACCACTTTCTTCCCACCTCAGACAGTGACATCGTCTTCCATTGGAGCTAGTTTTTAAACTTTTACTTTGCATCAGTTTCATCCCACTTCTTTAGGGATTTTACATTTTTATACCCTATAGAATCCTGTTCTGAACTGTTGTCTCCTAATTGTCTTCAATCTAAACATATCACTTATTTTTTCTTCAGCAGTTCTTTAATCTTGCGTTAACCTCTGCCTGTTGTCTTATCCTTCTCATTTACTTCAAGGCTGCAGTCAGGTTTCTGCCTTGTATATGTGCCCTTGTTGCTAATTTGTTTTGATGTGTTACATTTTCTGTTGTGCTTGACTTTCATACACCATTAAATACTGGTTTTTCTTTCCTTGAAAATATTCCTTTAACTTTCATTACATTGCTCTTTGAAGGGCTTCTTCTTTACTTTTGGGACCCTTCTAAGCTTCCTTTGTAAGTTTTTCTTCCTATCTTGCACCTTTAGTTTGACATATATAGTTATACTTCTTTGATTTTGACCATTGTTCATATTTTGATGACTTACAATGTGACATTTTTAAACTATATCTGTCTTCTAAATTCTAACTTACCCACTAAATTTATCTGGTTTTACTTACTTGTAAATAAACTTTGTATTCCCACAAAATCTCTCTTTCATCATTCTTATCCAGATAAGTATCGCAGAACCATCTGGTTTAGAAATGTAGTCTTTTTCTTACATTCCCCATATTGTTTTCAAATTTTGTTGATTCTATAATCCGATTAGTTTTTAAATCATCCTTTGTTCCCCTCCTATTTTACCAGTGCATGCTGTCAATATTTCCATTTCATTCTCGTTCTTTAAGACATACATAGTTTATGTCATCCTTCAAATAAATCTGTCCCAAATAAACCTCACCTTACTCTGGTGTGACTTAGACATCCTTCCTGTGAACTCTTGTAACACTTTTTGCACATTTTTTTCATAACACTTATAAAACCACATGGTAATAATTTTACTTACCTAACTCCTTAAAGATTCTTGAAGAATGGAATTTTAGCTTGCCACGTAATATCTCTAGATAGGCATAGTAACTACAATGAGTAACATTTAAATGTTTCATAGATGTGTGACTAATTGCTGATAACTTTTAATGAAAACTTTTACATTTTCTGCACATTGGCAAACCATTCCTACTCATTTCTTTGAATAAAGGACAGAATATGAACTGGAGACATTTCCTAGGAAAAATGCTATTATAGTAACATGACACAGTGTTTCAGAAAAATAATATTTTGTACATTAATGTGAAAACTTTGTGTTTATTTTAATAACTCTTAACAAAGGTTTCTTTTAAAAAATATTTAGTCTTTAGACACCTATTCAACAAACAACGGACCATTTCGATATTATCTGAGTGGTGATCCCAATCCGTCCTTGGAAAATTCTGCCTTTCCTGAAATCATTCAAGTATCTCCTATAAATGGAAGCATTGGGGATATGCAGATGGTAGCAATTGAAGGAAAAGGTGAAGTGAAACGTGGAGGAGAAGATGGCAGAAGTAATAGTGGGGCACCACCCCATGAGAAACGAGGTGGAGAAAATGAGGACTTCTCTAATGTCAGAAGAGTAAGAGGTAGGTATTACTTTTTGTGTTGTTATTGTCTTCTGCTGCTGTTATACACTAATTGATAAAACAAGTATTCTGGATAGGGAAGCTCAGGGACTGTCATTTTGCAAGAGTAATGTTAAAAATTGTTGTTGTTCTTATGTGCCGTCGAGTCACTTGCAACTCATAGCGACCCTATGTACAACAGCTCTAAACTGCTCTGTCCTGTGCCAATCTCATTGTCTCCGACACACTCATCCTGATTGCCCCAGTCACTGAATCATTCCATCTCACAGAGGACCTTCCCCTCCTGCGGCTACCCTTCACCCTCCCAAGCATGATGTCCTTCTCCAAGGACCGATCCCTCCTTACACCATGACCAAAGTATGTCAGACGAAGCCTCAGAATCCTTGCCTCCAAGGAGCAGCCCAATTTAATCCTCTCCAGGATGAATCTGTTTTCTTAGCAGTCCATGGCACCCTCAGCACTCTTCTCCAACACCAAAGCTCAAAAGCATCAATTCTCCTTCTATCCTCCCTGGTCATTGTCAAGCTCTCTGACACATAACAAATGATTGCAAAGACCATGGCCTGTACCAGATGCACCTTAGTCTCCAGAGACATACCATTGCTCTTCAGTACTTTGGAGAGGTCCCTAACAGCAGACTTTCCCATTGCAATATGTCTTTTAATTTCCTGGCTGCTGCTGCCAACAGTGTTGATTGTGGAGCCAAGCAGACTTAAGCTGTGAACAATCTCAATCTCTTCACCATCCATCCTGATGCTACCAATTGGTCCTGTGGTGAGAATCTTTGTCTTCTTGACATTGAGCCTCAATCCATATTGAAGGCTGCAGTCCCTGACCCTCAGCAGCAAGCGCCTCAGGTCCTCCTCAGTTTCAGCAAGCAGGGTTGTGTCATCTGCATAATGCAGATTGTTTATAGGTCTTCCACCAACCCTGATGCCACATTTCTCCTCATAGGGCCCAGCTTCCTGGATGATCTGTTCTAAAAATTAGCCTTATATAAACATCTGATTTGATAGGCCAGCTAATTCCTAAATACAAGGCTTTTGAAAACCCTATGAACACTAAACAAAGAGGATAGTTATAGTATCCAGATTGGACAAGGTGACTGCTACAATGGCCTCTTGTGTGTCAGGAAGTGCGAAGATGGTAGAGGACAGGACTAGATTCAGATCTTTTGTTCATAAGGTCACTGTGAGTTGTACTTGATTTGATAGCATCTAACAACAACAAACATGTGATGGATTTTTTAAATTAAGGTCAGATTCTTTCCTTTGATTCCACAGGACATAGTAGTGTGTTCTCTCAAGCAGAAGAAAACATTTCTAAATCAGTATATTCTATACATACTAATAAATAGATATTAATTATAATATTATGAAAATATACTATTCATTATATATTAAATAAATATTAAATACAAAATATTATCTTTCTGAAGTCACCAAAATTATCTTTTGTTACTTCTAACCACAGTTGCTTACCAGTTGCTTCAATGTGCTGCTTCCCCCAACCATATAATAAAAAGTATGAGATCTTTTTATCTTATACATTTCCCCAATTAGGTCAAAAGCTGACAAATAAACTATGAGAAATAAAAGAATATTTAACAGTACAGAGGAAAACATTAAAAACAAAAAAAAATCACTGATGTTCTGTAGCTATATATTTTTTAATGAGAAGAGATTGTTTCTCTTTCTCTTGTGGAGAAGCTGGTATATCAGAACCACAGCTTTTTGTTTAGGAACTCAAAACATTACACCACCAGGTAAACATTGTTGTTCTTGTTGTTATGTGCCATCAAGTCACTTGTGACTCATAGTGACCCTATGTACAACAGCCCTAAACTCT